TTTTGAAAAGATGCAGTATTTTTGGTTTGGTGATGTCAATGTGATGCAGAGTCTGTGACGTGATTTTGAGTTTAAAAAGCAGCAGCTCTTACTGACTGCATGCAGATTGTTTCCAACAGTCAGGAGGACTAAATGAAATAAATGAAATGTTCACGTCTCATTTGCTTCAGAGCTATTATTAGCGTGTTTGCTCTTTGTTTTGATAGATCATGTTGATCATTAAACAACAGCTGCAGAGTAACCTGAAAAAATAGCCTTAATTTGAGCAGAAAGTAGATTTTGATACCTGAATTTAGCATTGGGCTAACAAAGAACAAGATGGGTAGATATTAGCTCACCTTTTTGAAATAGTAGAATTTCACTGTAATGCATAATGTAATGAGTCCTTAACTGTGTTTTAAATGATCTGTAGTTAAGATTAAACTCAACCTGGATTGACTTGTCCTTTAATTACAGATGTTGATGGCCGCCATAATGCTAAGCAAACCTTTAACAGATGATTAGCTTTTGTCTTTCAATAATAAAATAAACAATTTATAAACAAAAAGGCTATTCTAATGAACCTTGGTTCAGTAAGTCCAGCTATCATTAGCATTTTAGTTCATTCCAAAGATGTCAAATAATTACACTTTACCTGCAACCCTCCAGTTTTACTGTTGCTGAAAAGCATTTCTATGCTGCTTCATCATTCCTTCGTTTTTTCACAATAAGAGTCTCTAACAATGAAGCCTTTGTTCTTGTCTTATTTTGTGTGTTTTTTTTAGGATTTTGTGATCTACCTGATGAGCGGCACCACCACCATCTTTGGATGCTGCAGGGAGCACTGTAACGGAGAGGACGAGGAAAGGCTAAAGGTGGACATCCTCCTGTTCGCTCCTGATGTGCTGCCGCAGCACTGCTGCGTCAGACGCATCGACTCCAACATCCAGACCTCAGGAAAACACAAAAAGACTTTGACGATGCTGAAGCCCCTCCATGGTGCTCCCGTCACCAGAAACGGTTGCCCTCTGAATGAGGAAGTCGAACTGAATCCTGGAGATTTGGTTGGTTTGGGAAAAAACTACCTGTTTATGTTTAAGGATCCGACCACTACGTCAGGATCAGCTCATACTCCACTTTGGATGAGCAGACTCTGCCCGAGCTCCGACTCTAAGACCTCGTGTTTATCGTGTGGCTCTTGTGTGCCCATAAAAAAGCTCCAAAGGAAGCCCTTAGCTCCTTGTTGGAGAGACCTGGAAGGAACAGAGGCTTCCCTAAGCTACGAGCTAGAGCAGGAAGAAAGAGTCCTGCAGGAGATCCTGGACATGGTGGATCGAAGTGAGAATGAACCAAAACTAACTCCTGCTTTCCTGATGATTCTTTGCATTCAGCGCTCAGCCTCTGCTTTCGAGTTAACACACTTCAGACAGCTGCTACTCAGGATTGCCAGTCAGATCCAGCTTATTGCATGGGTAAGTAAAGAATTCTGCAGCTGGGAAGCTCAACATATACAACTAAACGGTGTATTTTCTATTGTAATTGTTTATGGGTTCCTCTTTTCAGGAGAAGACAAAGGAACTCGCCGCAGTCCAACCAGAAACGTGAGTCCAGCACAGTGGTTTAAATTCCAAGTTTCCAAAAAGTATGAGATTTACGCGGTCAGTAGCTACATTAGCTTGGAGCGTGTCACTTTAACACACCAGTCGGTTCAGATTCAGGAGCATTGCAATGAAATTGTAATCCGCTTCTTAGGATGAAATTCTTCTGAATGAGGTGAACTGAGCGGGTTGCACTTGTGCATGCCGCATCAACATGATGGATTTCCTGCTTTGAGCAGCTGAGCGCTACCAGAATATTCCAACTGGCGTGTTTACATGACGCCTGTCAGCTCTGATCAGCTGTTTTATTACGATTATTTTTCCAAATAATCGGTAAAATACAATTATTTTTTGTTTTGTTTTTTTTTAAATCCAAACACATTTCAATAGTCATGAATTTTTGTAATTGTAATCATAGCTAATGCTAGCTGACCGTTTAAATACCACTAGGCTACAGGGAAGATAGTGACTGCTAAATTAATCAAACCCCTTAAATCTGTTTCTGAATCTGACTTTTGTCGACTTTGAACCGCTAGCTTGAATGCATTATTCTGGTATTTAACTTGAAAGACCTACAGAAAACTCTGCAAAACTTTACTGAAAAAAACCTTGAAAGCCTGCAATGCATTTTTATTCTGTCCATCTAACACCACATATTGTAGAAACACTTTTCACTTTACAGTTGTATGTTTTTGGGGTCTGTCTATGCAAAGTCTGCACTAAACCACTAAATTCAATATGTAGGTCTTTTTCAACAAACTGATTCTAATTTAAGGTTTTTACATTTTTTAAATCCTTTTCGCACTCTTTAATAATTTAAAACATGCAAATCCAGCTATTAAAAGTATGACTTAGATGTCTCTTCTCACTTTAACTGAACAGGAGGGAAAAGAGTCACACTGGGAAACGAGGACATTGATTTAAAGTCAAAGGATTTTATTCATTAAAGCAGTTTATTCTGGAATTCATTAACTGGTTCATTCATCAAGCAATTGTCTCACTGGGCAAATATTAACACTAAAACTATTCTAATTTGGTTCTTTATCAGCTTGAAGCCCCATTCTTTTTTTTCTGCCCTTTTTGTTCGTGTCGATACTGATTTGTGCTTAATCTGATTTATTTTCAAGAACAGCAAATTGAGAAGATGTAGAAACAGCATTGAGCCTTTTTTCTCTGGTTTGAGTAGAAGTTTTGTCCTGCTGACTGAGGGGCGATGGAGCAGTTTGTCTAACATAGTTTTATTATTTTAGATAAAGACTAAATGTGGCTATAAAGTCTAATATTAGCATGCTAATGCTTTGATTTACTAAAATTGGAGATTGGAGGGAATAATACTTCTCAAATGACATTTTTCACCACAGGTTGAGGGTTTGAAAGGATGGAACAGAAATGTTGCTGCTCTCTGATCAGCCTTCCTGTTCAGTTTTCTCTCTGTCCCTCTAAGCCTTAATAATTTACAGACTTTAAAACATCTGGTTTGACACAGGACATGTATGGAATGAATTCTGTTCCATCATTGTTGCAGCAAAGAACAGGTTATGCACGTGGAAAAAAAAATTGCAATCTGGAAATTATACTTTAAAAACAATTCTAAATCAAAAAACGTTGTGAGATTAACTTTGCTGTTTTCTGGTATTTTATTTTGATTTTTTTATTTGACAAATTATAACCTCTTGTTTTTAAATGTCTCTTTCTCAGATAGTTTTACATTCTCTTTGCTTTAAGCCCAATACAAACGTTCACTCTTGACCAATAAAAATGTTGTTGCTAACGTCACTGCAGACCAATAAAAAACCATCTTCTTTCCTCACACATGAGGAAAGCGAACAAAACCGAACATAATTTTAAAACGATACTATTCGTAAAACTATATTTCAAGAGATTTCATTTGAAAAAATAAAATCTGAGAAAACAGCGAAGTTACTTTCCATTTCCACAACGTCTTTTCTTGACAAAGAAATTCTCTCCATAGAAATAACTGAGCTTTCTTACCTCAGTGACGGACTCCACATCAAAGTTTGTTCTTGGTAATCGAGGTTTTGTCACGCTTTGGAATGGTGGCTTCACAAACAAAAAAAGAAGTTGGATTTTTGAGTTTCTGATGGAGTGGTCAGAGTTAAAAACAAAAAACAAAAACCTATTGATCCCACAATGTTCAGTGTCAGTGGAAGCTGCATGTTCCTGGTAGAACTGGTATTCTTCTAATGATACCCACACTGAACGTTGAATTAATTTCAGACTTTTCACTCTTAGATTTTGAGCAAACTGTTGGAACCAAACGGCAGGAAAACAGCTTAAACATGATATTAATTTAAGACCAACGGCTGTAAACCTGTGTGATGAATTAGGACTGAACGAAACATCTGCCTGAATTAGCTTAAGTTATTTCTGCAGTCCTAAAAACCTCCGTTCGCTGCTTAAATAATCCCTTAAATCAAAAACAGACAAGTTTCAGCTGTAACTCCTGATTTCTTCCTCGTTAGGAGTGACGGACAGCCTGAAGAGATTCATCTGCTCAGCATGGAGCAGCTGATCCCAGGTCTGCGACCGTTGGTGCTGTGGATGGCCAACTCCATCGAACTGCTGCACTTCATCCAGCATGAGGTTCCTCAGCTGCTTCCTGGGAGACGGGAAAGTCTGGATGAAGGTGAGCGTTTGCTTTGACATTTTGAAAGCTGTTAAAGCTGCAATGGATAAAGATTAGAAAAGCACCTTATCATGTGTTTTCATCAGATCTTCTGGAGTCAGAGATGTCGTCCACTCGGATCGCCTGCGAGGAGGCCATGACAGTCCTGGAGGAGGTCATCATGTTTACCTTCCAGCAGTCTGTCTACTATCTCACAAAGGTTGGCTCCTGCCTACAGGCATACGCAGCATAAATCCTTTGCCAAAGTGCTTCACATCCCTTCGGACCGGTGAAACCTGGTTGTCTTTCACATGTGAAGCAGGAAACCTGATTGTGTAAACACAATATTCTGTTTTCGTTGAGCCTATTCCAGACAGAAAACACAATAACAGAATGGAAACACAAACCCGCCGCCAGGAAAGAGCTGTGAGATAGAGAGCGGGGTGTCCTTTCCACTCACAGCAGCATAAACAGTGACGACATGGTATCTGAAGGTTGCAGAGGTTTAACTGAATAAACCTGAATGCTTGATTTATTGGGAACTGCTGGGTTGACATCTGCACATGTTGTCTTTGGCAGAGTTAATAAAGAAGCTGCTTTTCTGATACACAAAGCGGTTAAAGTGTTGAGAGCCTTGGCTGTGTTTGCTTTGCCACAGATTATAGTTTATAGAAAACTGGTTTTAACCACAAAGATATGTTGACTTTTACTTAAACAGGAAAAATTAAAATGTTTGTGGCATAAAATCCTCATAATAAACACAAAAGTTTAAAGGGATAGTGTGTTACGAATTTGGCTTTTTATCAGCAAAAATCAAGCACTGCTTTCATAAATACATATTTTGCCAAAGTCTCATTATAACTGAATCAAAAATGAAAGTGCCAATAGCGCAGAATGAGTTGCTTCTAAACATGTAGGTGGTGGTGTCCCCTGTGCCGACTCCATCCTTCCCATCAGCTCATTTACACATGTACAACCAGAATATCACCCAGGTTACCATTAAATAGTGACATTATGGTACCAGAAGGACATTTCTATCCTTAAATCATTAAACATTGTAGGGCTGAAAAAATTAATCGTTATTAATTTATTTAGTAATTAATTAATCGTTAACTGGAATGCAGAGACTCTAAAACATGCCTTTAGCTGACGTAGAGACCCACTTAGAGCAATAATTATACCAAGATTGTAAAAGAAACATATACAAATTTTCAATTTAAGATAAAAAAAAAATTGTCTGTCAGTATGCTCTACCCAGAACTCCTCAAGTGGAAGAGTCTGAGTTCCACCTGGTTTAACCTGGTAAAAAAAATTCTTTAAAGAATCTTTGACTTTCCCATTATTTATCAATTAATCAAAAAAATTATCGACAGATTAATCGATTTGCAAAATAATCGTTAGTTGCAGCCCTAAATCATTATATAAAATAGTAATTACAACTTTTGTGATTGCATAGATGCCTTTACAGTGTTTCGTTATATTGCTTTTATTCCATATTTATCTGTATTTTAGTTGCATCGCTCTTTAGCTTATGCTATACTTGTACAATGAAATGCAGACAATAAACTAAAATGATGAAAAGAGTGAATGATGAGTTATATCAGGTCAGATATAAATCCAAAGCTGAAAATTGTGCTGCTTGAAGTATGTTATGGTATCCAGGAAACGTCTGGTACAGACCAGTGACATACCAAAAGGATTTTAAATGTGTTTTCAGAAAAGTCGTTATTCTTTTTTTTTTTTACAGTATAGTTTATTATGCTTTATAATGATTAGTGATATAAATAAGTCATTTCGTTCTTTCTGATTTATTTTTTTTAGACATTGAATTCCTTACACTTGGTTAACTCAAGCAAATGCAATCTACACTCGATAGAATCGAGCAGCTTCTAGCCAGTGAAATTAACTCATTTGGTCATGTGACACAACAGCTGTGCTCAGCGCTGTTGCCAGCTGAATGAGGATTATTTTTTTTGTTAAACAGAATTACAAAACGTCAGTTAGCTACTAACAGACATCTACTGTATTAGAGTTTTTCCTCTTATCAGAATGGGTGAAACAACTTAGCCAATCACAGCAAGAAGCGGCCGGCGGCAAACTCTTTTTCTTCTTCATCTGAAGAAGAAAAAAAGTTTGCCGCCGGCCGCTTCTCCCGGATCAAACCAAGAGCCTCGGCAGACAGGGGTGCCGTTACTAGCTATGATTGGCTCAGTTGTTTCACCCAGTCTGATAAGAGGAAAATCTCTAATAGCTGTCTGTTAGAAAAATTCCTCATTCAGCCAGGAACAGCGCTGAGCGTAGCCGTTGTGTCACGTGACCAAATGAGCTAATTTCATTGGCTAGAAGCTGCTGGACTCTATCGAGTGTAGAACGCTTCGGCTTGAGTTCACCAAAAGGTCAACACTTTTGCGGCTGAATTTTTGCAGCTGAATTTTTTTGCAGCTAAATTTTTTTCTGGTGAATTTTTACCAGATAAAAATTGAGTGTAAGGAATTCAATATCTAAAAAAATTCAGTATTTAAAATTCGGTGTTAAAAAAAAGGCAGATTCCAATGAGGCTGTTTTTCTTCCATATGTTTCTGGTTAAACATACGCAACTAATCTGAGGAGGTTTCAGGCTTTCTGCTGGACTGGTAAGATCATCCAGAATAGCAGCAAAGTTTATGTTGGTTTATGTTAGAAACAGGACAACTAGTCTGTCTCACAGCTAGTTAGTCTCACTGGACGAACTCTGCTGCAACCGTTATCAGCTGCTGTTCTTAACAAAATTCATGCCAGCAGGGGGGCCATAGCTGTTAGCTATTAGCAGTAGCTTCCTACTGAATACATGGAGGACACGCTTGTAACCTATTGGCATTAATAAAAACACTGAATTATGTACCGTTCTGTTCCTCCTCACCTGGCAGGATTTTCAAACCTTCCTTATATTATAATGTTCTAACAGTGAGGCCCCAAAGCATGCCTATCAGTTGTGTGTAATTCACTTAGCACACCACTAGGTGGGATAAATCTCACACACTGGGGCTTTAACTCGACAAATTCTGCAAAAGTTCAATGACGAGCTGCCGGATCTCATTGAGGACTTTTCCAATTTACAACCTTTCAGTTTCTAGATATAAGGTCTGAGTTCGAGACGAATGTAATAAAGTCAAGATGATCCATTTGAATTAGCTTCGGCTCACGTGGGCGTCTGCAGCTTTATGGCTCCCCTGGCTTATTTATGTGACTTTCACATGTTGGAGCCACTTCTTAGGACTGTCTGCTTTGTGTCAAAACCAGCAGGCTTTACAGCTCAGACATTTTTATTCTCAGCAACAACAACATGAGCTCCTACACTTTGATGTTTAGATTTATTTTAAAGAGTTCGTGTCTGATGTTGCTGTAAAATTAAGGAGCCGGTCAGGATATACAAGCTGCTTAACTGATGCGTCTGCTAAATACGGACTTGGTGTCATTAGAAGAACTTTAAAGCCTTCTATCATTTAACTTTCTAAATAACCAGAAGCAGACGGAGAACTGAGCTGTTTTATTTGCTAAACCATCTGTGGGAAGTGCCTGAAACACCGCCACCCTCATAGTGACTGTTGGAGGAAGGTGGGGAAGGAAGCAGGAACAGTCTGTTCTCTTGTTTTAAAACTATGGGATATTTGCAACAACTTTACTCTAAAACTTAAGTACAAAAAATAAATAAATCAGGTTTTGTTGAAGGCTTGAGCTATTGCTGAAAGCAGATTTGATGTATTTACGTTATAGATTAGTAATCAGATCACGCCGCTGGGTAGTGTATTTATAATCTCTTGTTTCTTATATCCATTTATACAGATCTGGATTTGTAAAGATTGTAGATTTTCCATTTGGTTTAAAAATGGGTTGATCAGCAGCAAGAAGCTCTTTCCTGCAGAGGAAAACAAGCTGTCATCAGAGAACACAGAGGAAAGGGAGGGAGGAGCACAAAAAGGTCTTTCCTTTGATTTCCTGTAGACGACCGAATGTTCAGACTGGATTCCTTTACCTCTCCTCCACATCAAACTACTTATTATTGAACTGGAAATGAAACGGGCTTAAAGTTACCTCAGCCTGAGCAAACATGTTGGCATGTGAAACGTTTTCACATCCTGTCTGTAAAAATCTTCCACCATCTGTTATTTCTCAGCATGTGGTCTCATGATAACACCTGCTCAGCGTCTCAGGAAAGCCTCAGCTGACCTGTTGCTTCATGCACAGAGTTACTGCAGGCGGATGGTTTGCTCCAGCAGCGTGAGCTTTTTATCGCTCTTCATGTGTGTTTTCTGTCGGTGCCAGAGAAGTGCCAAAACAAACACTTTGACCACCACAGTAATAAAAGCTGATATTCTGTTTGAGGTCAGTAAAAAGCCTCACCAGCTGATCCTGTTCTTTTTAGACTCACCAAGTTGTTTTAAATGCCTTGAACTTTTTCATAAGATGCATTTCATTCGGTTTTCTAGCAATTGGATCACAACCTTCAACTAATAAAACCTCAGTTAACAGTTTAACCTCAACATTCAAAGGCAGCTGTAAACAAATGGGTTTTTAACTTTGACTTAAAAGAACTCAAACTTTTAGCACCTTTAGGGTTTTCTGGGAGTTTGTTCCAGATCAATGGAGCAGAGGAACTAAATGCTGCTTCTCCATGTTTGGTTCTAGTTCTGGGTGGACAGAGTTTGCTGGAACTAAAAGACCTGAGTGGTTTCGGATGTTGATACACTGACAACAGATCTACAACAGCTATCCATTCGGTGATTTATAGACTAACAGGAGGATTTTAAAGTCTATTCTCTGAGCTACAGGGAGTCAGTGTAAGGACTTCAGAACTGGGCTCTACTTTCTTAGTTCTAGTGAGAACACGGGCAGCAGTGTTTTAGATCAGCTGCAGCTGTCTGATGGACTTTTTTGGCAAACCTATGAAGACATGATTGCAGTGATCAATTCTAATCCTTTTCTAGATCCTGATTGGACTTTAGTCCTTTAATCCTGGAGATGTTCTTCAGGTGATAAAAGGCTGACTTAGGCTACGTTCACACTGCAGGCCTTGATGCTCAATTCCAATTTTTTTTTTAATCCATGGAGGACGCAATGACGTCACAGGCCAGCGTGCTCTATGTTTACAGAAGTAAACATGGATGGTAGTGCAGGCGCGGATCTAGCGGTCTTTTCCAACCATGAAAACTCAATCTTTTCAATATGGTTAAACATAAATACTGCTCTCCGCATCATCGTCTGCCATGGTTGTTGTTTTTCTTGCCGCTTCTGCGTAGCAAGACCAAGAATAGTGACCTTTGTCGGGTATTAATGGCCTTCAGGTCGGATGAATGTGACCTGGCCGTTCAGACACAGGTCGCATTTGAAAAGATCAGATTCATATCGGATTCAGGACCAGATAGCCAAGTGGCCTTGGTCAGATTGGATAAAATCGGACCTGTGTTGTTCAGACAGTCATGAAAAGATAAGATCCAGGTCGTATATGGGCAAAAAAATTGGATTTGGGTCACTTCAGGCTGCAGTGTGAACGTAGCCTTAGTGGCTTCCTTTATGAGCCTCTGAAGGTTCAGGTCTGAGTCCATGATGACACCCAGACTTTGGCCACAATCAGTGGTTTCTAGCTGTAATAGTTGAAGCTGTGAGCTACAGTAGCACCCATTCCAAATGGCCCTTCCCAGTCGAATGGCAGCCCACACCCCTGCAACTCCCAGCAAAACCCCCTCCAACTTCCAGCCATTGGCCTTCTCCTGGGCGTTCCGTTTTTTACTCTGACTCCACCCTTTCACTGAATTAAAGGCTCTGACCAGGAGATGATGCTTGTCTTTAGACCTTAATGTCTACAAATATTGACAGAATATTTAAGTACAAAGATGGATGGAATTGTAGCGGACCAGCCAAGGACCCATCAAGGAAACTGGGGACATTTTGAATGGCTACTACTGTAAGTCTCGATAGTTCCTTTTTTGGTCCAAAGATTAATATCATTATTAGTGCATCCACATATTGAGCATCTAACCAACACTCTGATGGGTTCATAGTCACCTGGTGACATTGTGTCGCCTGCATAGTTATAGTAACTGATCTGGTTGTTTGCTATAATCTGAGCTAAGGGGATCCTGTAGATCAGGGGGGCTCAAGTCCAGTCCTCAAGAGCTACTATCCTGCAAGTATTTCATGCAACCATTTTTAACACACCTGAATCAAATGAGTGGCTCGTTACCATGCCTCTGATGAGCTAATGGGGGATTGAGCATTTAGATTCAGGTGTGCTAGAGAAGAGATGCATATAAAAGTTACAGGATGGTAGCTCTTGAGGACTGGACTTGGGCACCCCTGCTGTAGATGCTGAATAGGAGGGGCCCCAGAATGGACCCTTGAGGGACCCCACATGTGATTTTTCTGCTTTCCGATTTAAAGTTCCCCACTGACACGCAGAAGTCCCTGTCCTTTAGGTGGGATTTAAACCAGTCCAGTGCTGTAACAGAAAGGCTGCCCCAAGTTTCCAGAAGCTCTGATAAAATCAAATGATCAACAGAATCAAACGTTGCACTGAGGTCCAATAATAGCAGCTCTGTTGTTCTTTATTTGTTCTTAGTATAACATGTCATCAGTGATCACAGTTCCGAGATATCAGCCTAACTGGATCAAGTCATAACTGTGAAAAATTAGTTTTATGACATGCTCTGTCTTTTCTGTGAATCCCTCCCAGTCTGAGTAAATATGGAGTTATGTTCCGTTTAGACCCAGACCGTGTCAGAATGATCCATCCAATCATGTAACGCTCTCCTCTCTTTACAGAGTATGTATTCAGCCCTGACTGGTCTGCTGGACGGGAACCCGTTCACCGAACATGGTCAGCTGCAGGTGCCTGAAAGCCTCAGCAGCATCCTGGAGGTCCTCAAGGAGGCGCTGAAGCTTCTTACGGCCTTCCAGGTGCATCCAGACATCTCACTTCAGCTCTGTGCCTACCTGTTCTTCTTCATCAATGCATCACTGTTCAACACCCTCATGGAGAGAGGTAATCTCACACTTTATCTTCAAAGACCAATTTCTAGCTTTCTGAGGGATTTTAATCAGGATTATAGTCTTCTGCTTGTTTTATTTTTACTTTAGTTACATATTATTACATGTTTTACAGAAGATAAAGGTGATAGCTACGGTTTGCTAATTCCAGGTTAGCATTAGCAAATATTTAAGTTGCCTATTCAGAAGAAAAGCAGCAACCTGAGATTAGCAACCTCCGCATTCTCTTTGTTTCCTCAAATGAGTCAATATTAAATCCTTCTGAAATTATCTTCAAACTCATGGTTAATCAGTTTTAGAAGAAAAATAAATAAAGCTAATTTAGATCCCATTTTATACCTCTTTTTCTTGCAAAAGTACGCATGAGAATTTGACCCTTTTGTCTGCTTGTTCATGTGGACGTAGCGTTAGCAATATTATATATTAGCCATGGTTCTATAAATAGTTTCCTAGAGAATAGTGTGATGATAACATGGTGGGCTAATGTTAGCACCCTTTGCTTGATGATGTAAATACAGGAAGACAAATGAAACTCTCCATGAGCCCTCATGAGCTTTTCTGGTTCAACATAATGACATAATAGTTGCTTAGGAAATGTTTTGTTTTTGAATAAATAATCATTTTGGTGTAAAAGTTTTACTAGCTATGACATTTAAGATGCACTAAATGCAGCATTAAAATAGCATTAAGCTTTTTCCTGCCAATCTTTTTCTAAAGACAACAGCTGCCTTCTCCTGGTCACACCATTAGCAGTGTCATGCTTGAGGTGATGTTATTATTAAAAACTCTGATTCAGACTTTAGATTTCTGTAGTTTTTGCTCTGTGATACATGGAGCTCTGAGGAAAGGCTGCTTAATACATATCGCCTTCCCAGTGTCACTGTGTGCATGAATTATATTGATAAGAACTTTATGGAAGTAAAAATTTAGCGTTTGTCATTAATACGCAACCTACATGCAATAAGATTTCCATCTGGGATTAGGTTGATGAGGAGACTTCATCTCACAGCTGACACTGCTGATAAAGGTCACAGAGATCACCAAAACGAATAAATCCAATCCCCTTTACAGTCTGGTCCAACCTTTAAGATTTATTCACTTAAGTCAAATATAGTTTCTGTAAAGCCGAGCATACACTGCACGATTCTCCAGTCGTGCGAGAATTTTTCGATCGGACCAACTTTCAGCCCGTGCGTCTGTAGTGTACAGGGGGTAACGAGGGGTGATCAGCCTCTCACAACCACCTCACGATCAGGAATCGTAAGGTCGGGAGAAAATCAAACATGTTTGAAGGTGTTGTTTGGTTTTGGGCAAATCGCTCAGTGCACAAACAAGGATTCTTCTTTTCCTTCCTCTCAAACGAAAACACAGAAGCATGGCGGGGGTGCAATGAGTGAAATTCAGTTCTTTCTGTAAAATTGACAAACCGTAGCAGCATTGTTTGCTCAGCCATGTTTTTGTCCAAATACGTTGGCGCTTTTTCTTTTTAGGGCTCTCAGCACAAAATTGGCAAGGCAGGCCGATTCACTCTAGTGAGCTTCATATTCCTCTTCTACTGGTTTGGCTTCCGGATAGACGAGTCCGAGTAGCAACATCTCACTGCGGCACTGAGTCCGACCTGGTTTTTAAACTACAGGTTAAGCAGGTAGATCGCATCAGAGCGTATGGCCCCACAGTGTGAGAACATAACTCATGAGCTATGAACTTTTAAACCCTGTGGTTTCGTCGTAAAGTGTGAGCTGTAGCTGCGTACAACAATTTAAAATATTGCAGTGTATACCCGACTTTAGTGGAACAGTGGCTCTTCTCAGGGTTTGAATCTCTGTAATCATAATCAGAGCGTCTACATGCTCTTACAATTTTTTTTTTCTAGCAAGTAATTCTTTACAGTAAGACTACCTAAAGATGCTGTTATGAACGTGGAACGACACGTTGCTGTGCGTGGAGGAGTGGGACCATCTGAACACGCCCTCTCAGTGAAAGCAGAAGGATTTTTGCAGACACATCTTTCTCCTGTGAACTGAAATGATCTATTTTTACGTGTTTCTTCACTGGATTATCTTTACATTTCTAAAGTTGTTTCATATGTGTCCCTTTGCTTTTTCTAAAGTTTTGATTTTATCAGAACTTATTAAGTTGCCCTTAAACACAGAAACGCGTTTTAATTTTGGATTAAAGAAAGTTAGAGGGGATTTGGAATAAAGAGCCTCCTGTACCTCAGTTGCTCTATTTCTCCTATTTTATATTTGATAGAAAGTTTCTCCCTGCTGCATTTCTGCTGGGTTCCTTAAAATGGATTAGTACTAAAATATATTGTTATAATAAAGATGTAAGGTGCTCTTGTTTAAATGAAGGTTTTGTTGTTCAGGATCCGTGGCTGGGTTCTACCAGTGGTCCCGCGGTGTGCAGATCAGGGCCAACCTGGACCTGCTGATGGACTGGGCCCAGAACATCGGCCTGGGTGACATAGCCGGCGAATTCTTCCAGAAGCTCTCTGCTGCTGTCAATCTGCTGGCCACACCCAAAGAAACGCTTCTGCAGGTCAGCAGACATCCGCTTCTCTTTTCCTGTTTGTCTAAGCACAGGCGGGTGTAGCCCTGATAGCAGAGTCATGCTGATGTCAGCCTTACTGTTTGTCTTCTCTTTAAGGTGTCAGAAGGACCCATTTTGTTTATACATCAATTGTCTTCATCTTTTAAATGTCTCATATTCTTTTTTTTTTTTTTTTTTTTTACCAATGCAAATCCAGTGATTGGCTCTTTGTAAATACTGAGAAAGGTTCTGAATGTGGACTCTGGTTCATTGTCCTACTACCACTGAGAGAAGGAAACAACTAGCAGAAACCCAGTCAGTTCAAACACTAAAATGCTCAACTCATGACATCAGCGGTCCCATTTCTTAAGTTTATATAAACCAGAATAATGTTTAACTTGTTACCAGTTCAGATCCCCTTGACTCTTTAAAAAAAAGGATTTTATTGGATGGTCTAAGGTGTTCTAAGTGTTTCATTATCAGTCAGGAATTAAACACCAAATAGATCATAAACAACGCAGCAAATAAAAGAACAAGTGGTTGATAATTGTGTTGTGGTCAGCTTTAGCTTACTGCTGTAGCTTAAGTCCTAATCCTCCTCTAAGTTACCTCTTCAGATCTTGTTTACTTTTCATTGGACTGGAAGAAGCCAAAGTTACGCCGAGTCAGAGTAGAAAACAGACCAATAAATAGATCCAGGTGTAAATTATTATGTTTCTTTAAAAGCTCGTATAAACCAGCCTCATTTCTGACTCACATGTTTTATTGCCCCTGAATCTGTTGCCTCCCATCATGTTGAGTAGATTTTTTTTTTTTTGCTGGGTAGATGCCACGGCGGTCATGTTATGCCAACTCATGTTGAGTAAGGTGTTTAGATCCCAGCCTGCGTGTGAACACAAGGAGCTTTAGGATTCTTTAGCTCCTTAATTTGGTAACAACACACAGATGGATCAGTGTAAGTCACAAGGACTTTAGTTATAGATAGAAAAACAGTTTGAAGAGGTTCAACTAAAGGAGCGGCTTTTAAAGAAGGCCCAGGCCACTTCAACCAATATTAAAGCTTCAGTCAAGTTTTCTTTAAAAAGATATATGGTTTAAATCTAAGGTCCCCAAACTTTTCAGCTTCTGACTCACAAAATGGTTCCTGACTCAGTTTATAATTCAAAGTACCGGTATTATGAATATTTTCAATTAGCTGTGGTGTAATGATATTAAAATCAACATTAAGAACCAAAGTAGTTAGGCTTCATTTTAAGTGATGATTTATATATCTTCAAACACTTTGACCTAAAAGTTTATGTTTTGGTTTAGTTTCTGCCGTGGATCTCCAAACCCCGGCTATAGACTGTACCATCTTTTGCCCTTTTTGTGGCCAATTCTCCAGTCGTGCACGAATTTTACGATCGGGCCGCGTTTCAGCCTCACCCCGCGTCGTGTACAGTAGTATACAGGGGTAACAAGAGGCGATCAGCCTCTCGTTCAGGGGTACTCTCATACTCACCTCCTGATCAGGAATCGTAAGATCAGGAGAAAATCAAACATGTTTGAAAATCAGCAGTGGTAAGGTGTTAGTGGACAAATCCTGCTGCTGAAGCAGAGCTACGTGCCGATTTAACTGAACCTCAGAACTGTGCATGTGCAAAACCAGGGAGTTCTGCTTCTTCCAGATTGATGAGTCCGACTAGATTCATGAGTCCAGAATCAGTGCCATCTCTCTGCTCTGAATCCGACGTGGTTTTTGGAGTTTTCTCATCAGAGCGTCAAGCCGCACAGTTTGAGAAAATGCATTATGAGCTGTGAACTTTTAAACCCTGCGGTTTCGTCGTACAGTTTGAGCTGTAGCTGTGTGCAATGATTGAAAATAACCCTCAACTTTGGGGAATCAATGGTTTAAAGGGTTAATTAAAGGGATGCCAGTTTGACCAGCCTCCAGTCTATACCGCCATTTTCTACCTGCTTGTCAGCATTTTACCCTTCCTACTTTGATTTTAAACCAAGAAAATAATCAATATCCTTCTGTCAGTAATAAAACGTTTCTTATCAGTTATGACAGAATAATCTATAAACTTTCGCTGAGCTCAAACATTTATTTACATTATTTTCTGAAAATCTCCCAGCGTGTTTCAACAAGCTGTGATTCTTCTCCCTGAGTTTTACCTTTTTATAACTTTTCATTTCTTTGCTATTTTCTACAAATACACATTACAATCATTCCAGTTTGTATTTCTAAATTATTAATATAGAAGTAATATAATTTATTATTCTCCATGTCGTGTGTTTCATCTATTTTTCTCTGAGGGAAACATGAGATTTAAATCACTGGTTGAACCTAAATACCTTGTTGGTAGATTTTATTCATATGAGTCACATATCAGCATTTCCTTTAATTGGATAATAAAGACTCCTGTTTGAATGAACAAAGCATTCCTTTGCAATAAGCTACTCACATTGTATATTTCTATATGGTTTAAGAGCTGAAATGACGTCCATTTCCAAGATACGACTATATGTTTAGTGGCACTCAGAGTACAACTAATTTGACCCTTTGGAGGATCAGGTGTTTCTGAAGTGTTTTAGATATGAGATCTTTAGGTAGGGAGGGGGGCACCTGCTTTCAGGACATGACTCAAATCTTAAAAATCCAACAGAAGCTCAGCAGCGGCTTTGTCTCGTCTCCTCAGAGGGCAGCCTGGTTGCTATGAGGCTGCTGATTTTACAGACATCATGTCTCTGGAATGAGTTTGCTCTCAGTGGTCGTTAGAAGGGGACACGCCCTCCACGGCTTCTTAGTTTTCCATTTACGGATCTGCAGCGGCTCGCTGGCTGGCACTGTGGTAAACCAGACCAGACTGATGTGGCTTTGGTTGCTTGTGGATGGATATTTTAGAGCAGCATGGTTGCCCAACAATAACTGGCAGACATAATATTCAGAAGCATCTTTAGGTTTCTGTTGTTTCTGAGAAGCCTGGAAACATCCCTTCCACTCAGACTCAATCAGTCAGAGCAGCTCTCTACTTATGGTTCTGTTGTCGCCCCAGAAAGTCTGGCTAAAGTCTGACTTCCTCAGAGTCGGTTTGGACGGTCAGAAGAAAACAGATGATGATCAGAATGTTTGTTTTTGGTGAAATCACCCAATTAGTGTTTATTCATAAGCAGCAGCTTTCCTTAAGTCATGAAAAAAATCCCGTCTGGACTTTTTCCAAACTAAACACTTTCACAACATCAGGTCAAATCTCACGGTGTGCTAAACAAAAGGGATGTTCTAAAATGAAACCCAACACCCACATTTCATAGCGCAGAAACAAAAGAAGAGCTGCAGGAGATCCAATCGACACTTTAACCACTACTTATTCATCACCGCTATGAAATATTTTCCCATGAGTTTTCTTACCACATCTGTCGGTGGGATAATGGAGTTTAAACATGTTCATTCAGTCTCTGTTAACCTTATTTTACATGTTTAGAGAGAAAGACTGTTTGTCTGTGTAGCAACCCTGATGACGGGAAAGTTACGGTTCAAACTGTTTAAAGAAAATCAGTAGGTAGCTTTACATCAGTGGCCACAAAAATTACATGTGGCGTTCCCCAAGGGTCCATCTTAGAGCCCCTCCTATTCAGTATTTACACGCTTCCCATAACTGAACAACAATATAAATTACCATAACTATGCAGATGATACACAGCTATATATTACAGTACGATTTTACCAGCTGTGTATGAACTCAGAAGCGCTGGGTATATAAATAGAAAAGATAAATAGAGAAAAGTCGATTGATTGGTGCAAAAATGTTCTTCTCTTGAATCAAAACAAAACTGAAATGATATTTTTGGACCAAAGGAAGAGCATTAGAAGAAGCTTCAGATAATTCAGCTAGAAAAAAGCAATCAGTTTCTAAATCTGGGTGAAGTGACGGTCCGAACCTGAACCTTCAGAGGCTCATAAAGACAGGAACAAATATTTATTAAAGGACTAATTTGTCAGCAGGACCTTGAAAAACGAATTCCTGCTTCGTTCATCTTTAGTAAATTCCTTTAGATGAATTGCTTACTTCCAAAATACATTACAGACTTCTGTTAGAGGATCAACAGCCAGACCTCTCAGGTCTTCCCTATTATGCTGAAATGCTCTGTATGAATAAACTTTTTTCCTGTTTGCTGATGTTCCTGTGCCCCTCCAGGCCTCCTGGGCTTCCCTCAGGACCGAGTTTGCGGCTCTGAAACCAGCCCAGTTGCACCACATGCTGCGGGAGTACAGCGCCGGTAAACCCTGTCCGAGCGGATGGACTCCATCAGCAGATGACATGGAAGACGCAGTCAGCACTGGTGAGCTCTGGGGACAGACACCAACTGCATCACCCTTTTTTTTTTTCTTTTTGTCATGCCAATCATTTCCTTAAAATAACTCAGAGGTGTTGCATTGGGTTCTGGTGCATTTAGAGGTTAACTTTGGATATTTTGAGGTAAAGTGTAGATTTTACTCCAGGATTTACCTCGATGTCTTCGGTTACGTTTGGACCAGCCTCTACAGGAATCTGCCTTTCAGATATATTCAGACCCCTTAAACCACCAAACCTAAGAAGTGTGGAGTGTGTTTGTATTCAGTCCCACTGGTGAATTGGGACTGTAGTAGGGCTGAGGCTGATGACGTTACACAAGCACACAGAGCCCAGAGTAGTAAGTTAAAAGTTCTCTTTTCTGTTGCCGTTGTTCTATAAAAGCACCTTTTTTAGGGGGATTGGCCGGGGGGTGGCTCTTTTTTTTGGACAGTAGGCTGACAGGAAAGGGGGTATGAGAGAGGGGGAGACATGCGGCAAAGGACCAAGGGCCGGATTCAAACCTGGATCGGCCGCGTCGAGGTCTGAGAACTCCATACATGGATTGTGTGCGCTAACTGCTGCACCACCAAACCACGCCCATAAAAGTTCATCTTCAGATAATTTAGGCGAAAAATGTATACCTTTAAGCTTCACTATATGGCCGATTAACGGCAGTCAGGGCTAACGTTAGCCCGTCTGCAGCAGCCCTCTCTCTGCATAGCCGTTTGTGAAGAACCGCTGGCTTTGATGGCGATTTTTTTGTTTTATTTGTTAAAATGTTTTATTAATTTGTATCTGACTGTCCTTTATAATTCCTTCACTGAATGAAAAAAGTAAGAGTTTATTATTATCTAGCGACTATTAATAACAGGAGGTGAAATGCAGCTCCAGATCAGCCGAGGGTGTGGTGACGTCACGAGTACGCTTATGTTCCAATTTCCCGTATTTATGCTGCTTGCTCCTGTTCTCCCTCAGTCCATGCTTTCCTGTGTTCTTGTCAAGTACTTGGCGAGGACACAAGTCTGTAATCGCGTTCTTGTGAATTGAGAAATTGCCTTTGTTTCTGCCTTTTTTTAGTTTAGAGTATTATAGCATTCACATTGCATTCTCACAGGAAATCCAAGTTTTTCCAGTTAAAATTATTTTTTTTATTTTTATATTTCCAAACCTTTTTTGTTTTTTGTTTTTTTTTCTTCTTTTTACATATTTCATGCTTTTGTCTTCAGTGAGGCAAGAAAATGCATTTGTATTGGCCCGCTAGGGCGTTAGCAAAGACGTGTTTACTGGTCAATGTGTTACAAAAGCGAGCATTTGTATTGAGCTTCAGAGAATATGTTCTGGGGATAGCAATTTGAAAAGAATGCTATACTTAAACTTTAATCTAAGAAAGTAATCTGAAAAATTAAACTTTTTTTCAGTTGAAATGTTTTGAAAGTTTATTTTCTGTTTTTTTTTTTCCAATTTCCTTTGACAATTCCTGTTTTGCAACAATAATGGAACAAAGGTTACTCTATATTTCTGAGGCCTTTAGAAAGAAGTAGAGTTCATTCTGAGGTTAAACAGCAGATAAATTTATGCTGTTCAAAATCTGAACTTGTTCAATGTGAAAAAGACACTTTATATATAATTTATGACTTAATTTAAAATTCAGTTAAAATGCTATAAAAGCTGTAAAAACAATTAAATAATTTGTGAAACATCTAATTTAACTTCAGGTAAAAGCATCCTGCACCATTTTTTCCCCTGGGGGGCAGAACCAGTTTTGGATCCGCTGTTCTCAGGATATTAGTGTTTACAGTAAACTGGAGCAGGAATCAGAGCAAGTCTTATATAGCGTACATGTTGAGACTTGGTATTTGGCATGCAGGCCTGCACAACACCTCACGATAACATGACTGTTAGAGGTCTAATGAAATCGCGTGATAAAATGAGGGGAAGCGAGTGCATCTGAAAACAGTCCGGAGTTGGCAGGGCGTCAGCTGGTTTCACCGATACTGTTTTCGATTAAAAACGGCACATTCCCTGTTTTATGAACGCTGCTTGAAGCAGCTGAACAGCATCTTAAAAGCTCTGGAGGCTGCTTTGTTGTTGAACGAAAAACTAAATCAGGACAGAAGAATTACTGCAGGTTAATGTGAACCTGTAATCCATTCCTGCCAGCCTGTCTCCTCCAATCAGCCTTATTGCTCAGATATATGTCTTCCTGCTGTTTAAAATGAGACCCTTAAAGGCAAATAGGGGAGCTTCATTTCTAAATGCAAGGTTGTTTTATTTGTAGGCCTTCAGTAAAAACTGTCTGCAGTCGAGAGTAACGGTTCCTCCTTCTTTACAGCCGACATCCTGGAGAGCTTCGACAACCACCCGCCTCTCATCCTGCCCAGCAGCTCGTTTCACCTGGAGCTGGGTAAAGCCATCCTGGAGCCGGCTCTTTTTGAACAGCTCTCTAATCTGCAGGAATTTATTGGCAGGCTCGCTAACAGTGAACCCCGGGCCCAAAGTTCTGCTCAGGAACAGGTAACCATCTTCCTGTGACCGGGTCAGGAAATGAGCTGCTGGGTTGGTTCAGCATCGGTCTCTGATTTACTCATGTCACCCGAAATCAGGTTTCTCAGGGTTCCAGCAGTGACAGTCCTTCAGCCCATCAGACGCTCTCCGAGGCTGAGACTTGCCCCAGTCCAAAAGCAGATTCTGACCTCGCCTCCTCTGTAGACCCAGGTCAGACTCTAGGCTCTCATGGTGGCCTGAGCAGCTGTGAAGCAGTTCTGGCCCAAAAGCTGAAGAGCCTGCAGCTGCAGAACTCCCTCCCTGGCCCGGCCGACACAAGCTACCATAAGAGCCTGGCTCTGGACCCTTCCTGCCTCCTCACCCCACCCAACACCCCGCAGGGTATGGAGCTGGCTGAGCTGGAGGCGGATCTGCGGGAGGGTGCCCATCAGCTAAAGAAAGGTAACTGAAGGTTTAAAGATCAGATCCCAGATGGATCAGGTTACTGTTTTAGTCCTAATGAGTCCAAACTGATCTTTCCTCTAATGTAAAACAGTATCTGATATTTACTGCAGCTATGCTGCTTTCGAGCTAAACTGTAATAGATCTTGGTGTCATGGGCTGGATTTTGACCTTTAACCTTTCCATCCCTAGGTAAACTGTTCAACTGCAAATTTCAAAGGGTCTCCTGGATCTTATTGTGGAGGCCAAATTAACTTTAGTCAACATACAATTAAGAATCGGTTCAGAAACCTGAGGTCATAAAGGAGGGTCCTACTGGACCAACTATTGTTATAGGTCAGAAGTCATGGATTACCTGACCAGCTGGCTAATCTGAACCCAACTGGATTTAAAACATTTATAAATTACTGCATGTTGACCGACAGTGTCTAAACTTCCCTTGCGTCGCTTCTCC